GCCTGCTCCCTGCTGCTGAAGAATCCTGGTGGGAAGGGGAAAGCAGTGTGTGGTGGTGGCGTCCTCTCCTCCCTCCTTCCTCTAATCTGTGGCATTGTTTTATTTGTTAACGTGGCAGGGGTTGTCAGGAGACATTTTGGTGCCAAGAAGGCCAAAACAACCAGGAAGATGTTCTGCTGGCAATGGTTTTTGAAGTGGCTTCCTTCCCGCGCTCCCTCTTCTGTGACTTGGCTGGTGCAGGCGTGGTGGTGGCTGGGGTTTCCATCCCTTGCCCCTGGGGTTTTCCATCTGCTGCTCCTGGGGGTCTCCAGGGGGCTTCAGGGGGGTCACGGAGCAGCCCTGTCTTCCTGGGCTTCCCCTGCCCTTTACTGGCCGCAGAGCAGTTGTGCAAGGGGTGGCTGGGGTGCTGGGAGGTTCTGCCTGTGCTGCTGGCTCTACAGTGAGTGCCAGGGCCACTTTTGCCCCCAGGGGCTTGCCCAAGGACAGGGTGGCCCCCCGTACCCAGCAAGCTCTGGCACACTGCAGAACCTCAGCCCTGATTCTGTGTTGTGTCCCCATGTCCCCCCACACCTTTCCCTGTGTTCCTCAGCCATCCTTGACTGGCTTCCAGGGCCTGGGCTCTTCCTGAGGCTCTGGGACAGGCCATGAGGTGCCTGGGCAGAGCTCTGTGCCCACCCACGCCCCCTCATCCCATGCCAGGCAGGCAGAAGGAAGGACACTGTGTGCCCTGGCAGTTCTTCATCTCGTGCCACCACCACTGGGTACTCACGTCCCTCCCCGCAGACACGTGGGGAACTGGGTGGCAGGCAGAAGGGCTCCTACCAGGGTGTTCCCACTGCTGTCTTCGGGATGCTCGTGCCTGGGTGAAGTTGCATTAATGTGACCACCAGCGCTGTCCCACTCTCCCATCATGCCAGGGTCTCCTCTCAGTGGGTTCCCAGTTGCCCCACAGCAGGTTCCAGCTGCTCCCTGCCAGCAGGGCTGGGACCACCGGGATTGTGGCCACTGTCCCCCTGCAGCCAGCCCTGGTCCCCCCAGGACCAGTTCCTGTGCTGCCCCTGGCCCCACACACCCTGCTGGCGGCAGGAGCCACCACCCCAACATGCTACTGACCAAATCTCAAACTCCTTGTGACAACAGTGTGTTTTCTGGGTTCACTGATGTGTTTTTGAAGGCAAAGTGCCGAGCTCTGCCTGCACCTGCAGTTCCTGTCTGTTCAGGTCCTCCGTGAAGGAAGTGGGGGTAGGGCAAAGGGTGGGGTTTCTTTTTCTTCTTTTCTTCATTTTTTTTTTTATTTTGAAACAATGAAGGAAATGTAACTGGTTTGAAAAATGGCTGAGCTGTAGCCTCTGCCTCTGTCTGTGCCTCCCCAAGCCCGCTACCTCTGTCCCCTTCCCTCTGTCCTTCCAGCCTTTGCATCTCGCACCTCCAGGATATCTTGCCCATGTCCTGCTGTCCCCCCATGGCGGGTGAGGGGGGGTCTCTGCAGCTCAGCCTGGGGAGCACGGTGTGAGGCAGCATGGTGTAAAGTGTCCTGAGGGCAGCCAGTGGGGTGACTGTGAGAGTCCAAGGGCTGAGCTGCCTGTGGCCACGCAGCACCCAGGGCCATGGGATCCCCCTGCTGGGGCTCACCTGCCCCCCCTTGCCAGCAGCCCCCCCCCCCCAGTCCAGACTTGCTGCCAGGCCAGGCTGGGAAGCAGCTGTGGACTGTGCTGGTGGGCTCAGGAGGACTTTGGCAGGGAGACATCCTGCAGCTGCTCCTTGGGACCCCCCAGCTCAGCCTCATCCCGGCTGCTGTCGAGGGTCTCCGATCCCTCAAAGCAACCCGAGTCCCGGGGAATGTCCCCCTTGGGCTCCAAGGGCGAAGGCTGCGCTTCAGAGCTGTCGCCTTCCTCTGGCTCACTCGCTGCTGGGAGATGGGACACAGCATTAGTGGGCAGTGAAGCTGGGGCCCTGGGCAAGGTGGGGTATCCCCCCCATCCTCCCCACTGCTCTTACTGTCGTAGTCCAGGAGGAGCTCAGCTGCTGTCAGCAGCTTGGCGCGGTGCTGGGGGTCCGTGATGTTCAGCTCGTTGAGGTGGGTCTCCCGCAGCTCCTTGAAGTCCTCCAGGGTCTGGTAGCCATTCAGCAGCAGAGTAGAGGTGTGTTCCTGGGGTGGGGGGCCAGAGCAGTGAGGGCTGCCCCCGGCTCACCCCACCTGGCCCTGCATGCTGGCTACATGGCTACCACCTCAGCACAGCTCCACCATGGACACTTGCCCAAGCACCATCCGGAAAAGCCTTGCATGTTCTTTTGAGTGTGAGGGGGAGGGACCCAGAGGGATGGGATGTAGAGAGAAGGGTGATCCTGCTGCTGGCACCCTGGGCCACTGTCCCCTCCAGCCCTTACCTGCAGGTTGATGCGCTCCAGCAGCTCATGGAGTGTCTTGGGCTTGAGGCGCTTGCTCTTGCTGGAGCCCCGGCTCTTGCGGGCAGGGAGAGGCTCCTCAGGGATAATATCCACGTAGATGAACTTGAAGGAGCCCACCCTGTTGTTGAGCAGCCCCGTCCAGGTGCCCATGGGCGGCTTCTGATGATGCCGGATGATGTCCCCTTTCTGGGATGAGGGAGGTGCAGGTGGGCACACGCTGGGGAGGGGGTCCCCAGCCGCCCTCCCTGCCTCCCCCGCGCCCGCACTCGGGGCTCACCCGCAGC